AAGTTTTTTGCTATCATTTTTTTCCCAAGCATGACTTAAGTCACTTGATGGATATTAAGTTCATTTTATGATTCTATTTCAGAATGTATCAAATGAATGGGCGAAAACGATCTTAAGTGATGCTGAAAACTTTACAGAAGAGAGAGTGGATGAAGTATTGAACAAATATCTGAAAGATTTTAAAGAGGGATCACTAAAAGCTCAAGGATGGCCTGCTTTTATGTCTGCCTATACACTCTCCAAAGCTGCCATGAATGCCTATACAAGGATTTTGGCTAAGAAACACCCTAGTTTCTGCATTCATTGTGTTTGTCCTGGCTTTGTCAAAACTGATATAAACTATAATACTGGAGTCTTGACTGTTGAGGAAGGTGCTCAAGGTCCTGTGAGATTGGCATTGCTGCCAAATGGTGCCCCTTCTGGTCTCTTCTTCAATCGATTGGAAGAATCAGAGTTTTGATCAGATTGTGGGAAAGTATATGCAATTTCCTCTGTACTGCTTTATGATTGTCTTAGAATCTCAAACAAGTAAAAGCATGTTTGAACAAATGTTTAACTATAAACGTTGTTTGCAAGTAAGGAATAACAAAGTCTGTGATTTATGGTATTTTGCTTCCTCACGAATTTTTTTATAACTCATTCATCTGAACATGCTTTGATTACTCACATTATGAGACGCAGCATATATCTTGTAGCTTGCATAGAAGCAATGAAGTCAAGCAGCTTACTTTATGCTAATTTGATTCATCTACGCAATATTTGGCAGAAGCTAAGCTGAAGCTCAAAGCTTCTCCTCCTGTTTCTCATTGATTTCATGCCTTAAACCATCTGAAACACCTGCTTGTATTTGTTGTTTGACATCCTCTCTAAATTTTCATTTTTCTTGAGGATATTTCTATCTGAACTATGCTGATTTTTGTATTTTTACACTTTAATACTAAAACAAATTCTTGATATACAATTTTTTTTTCTCACAACTTAAAAGAAAAAAAAAAATTCCCCAACTTTCCCAACTGGGGGACTTACTTGACATCTTTTCACTAGCTTTCTTAAATATTAACTCTTTACAAAATATATAAAAGGGTGATAACTCAAGTAGGAAAAAATGTTGTGTAATCTGGACTATATTAGACTACACAATTCTAACCATTGGATGGGAATTTGACTCTCTGATATTAGTAGCTTTCTCCCATCCAATAGTTTTTGTTTTATTATCAAGTATTGTCTAAACCATAAAATAAGATTCTCATTCAAATAATATTTAAACAAAATTTCAATTTAAAATTCATTATCTTTTTTTAAGTACTTTTGCAACTATTTTTTCAATAAAAAATTTTTTCCCTTCTAACCAAAAAAGCCCTACATGTATACCATCTTGATACCGTTAGAGTTTTGGAGGAGAGTTGGAGCAGAAGAACTTAGAACATGAATTTGGCATGGTCATGGAAGGGGTGTGGTCATTGCTACCATGAAAAATGTTAAGATTACCAATTTTTAAATTTTTTTTTCTTAAAAAGTTATATGAAAATATCAGTTTATTTACTGATTTTAATTTATTAACTAATAAATATCAATTGTTTCATCAGTTATTAATTAATAGTTACTATCATTAGCTATTGTTATTAATTAAATAAAATAAAATTAATATTTTTAAAGATAAGATTTTACCATTTTTGGTGCTTAACATTCTAGGTAGCTAGTGACCATAACCCTACCCTTCAAGGTGTAGACATTCACCCAATCGAGGAGAGGAGGGGAGAGGAGAAGTTGTTCTCCAACTCTCACATTTCCATTAACACCTCTGCCCATTTATAGCAAAAACTTCAAAAATAGTATTCTTTACCTACTTTACATGCTTTATGACATGTTTTCTACAAAATTTAATCTAAAATTTAAATAAAAGATTGTAATACATAAACCGACATAAAAGTACATTGAAACACTATCACATTGATGCACTTTTGTTGACTAATTTCAGCCTCCATTTACATTTCATTTGCATTTGCATTTGCATTTTATGTCATTTTCTTCCATAATGCAGCTTTTTTGTTGCCGAACCATTTTGTGCCATAAATGCAGCTTGCTTGCTGTCACATTTTGCTGTCTTGTTGCACCCAAAAACGTATGAACTGGGCAGAGCTTTCTAGGATTCAACTCCTTGGTATTTGTCTACATGGGTTTCCGTTCTTTACTAGGTGTTTTGTGGAAGT